CTTTCCATATATATTGCATCTTTTACTGTTGCTTTATCCTTGAGTATCATGAGTTGAGTACCTTTGAGTTGAGTATCATATCTTTGATTTGAGTTGAGTATCTTATTCTTGAGTTGAGTGAGTTCAGAAGAGGCAAGTATGTTTCCTTTTTATCAAGTTCAAGCCTATGTTTATGCTTTAGAATTCCCCTTACATGCTCGTATATTCCACGTAGTAAGCCATTTGGACTGCATCGTTTCATGATGCAGATACAGGTATTCAGGGTCATCAATAGGAGTTTCGTTGATACCACATGGAGTTCGAGTTAGCTATGGCGAGCCTCTTTGCTTCTGGAGGGTTCCACTTGTACTTTCAGTTATATCAGTTGTTAGGATGTCGTGGGTCTTGTCCCGACTTCTATCTTTGTCAGTTAGAGGCTTCATAGATAGACAGTAGAGTTTCAAAAGTCTGTACATTTATTTTGTTAAATGTTTTAAAGATTTGAGTTGCCTATTGTTGGCTAGTTGAATATTCTATTTTTATTCAAAGTTATTCATTTGAGTTAAAGATTTGTAATTGAGTTTCATGAATTTCATTATGTTTAAAGCTTAGTATGCTTGAGTTAGTCTTCTTCTTGTAGTCAACCAGGATGAGGGTTCACTTGGGGACCAACAATGATTCTCAAGTGCCGGCCACATCTAGGGTGTAGGGTCGGGTCGTGACACACAACATCATCACATTATAGAGTAGTTACAAGTTCATAATTCATATTATCAATAAATAATCATTTAAACAGTTTTGCATGCTAAATAAGCAACTCTTAATTTCATCAAAACAACAACTATGTCTGAAGACCAATCAACATGCAATACAACTCACATTACATATTGGCTACTAAGAAAAATCTAACTCCAAATCGTAATTTAGCTCAACTAATGAATTAAAAGCAAACAAGCTAAATTGTCAAAGTCTTACCTTTTTACAACGCCTTGAAAAGCTCAAAGTCTAATATAAATAGAGTATAAGGTCACTTTAATACCCTATTTACTCAAATGGAGGTCTTGGATATTCAAATCACGTAATTCTACCTTTTTAGAAGGTCTAACAAATAATTAACTGGTTATTTTATCAAATCGGAGATTTGCATGATCAACCCAATCTCATTCATAGATTTTAATCCCATCAACCTCTCTTGAACAATTTGTGCGCTCAAGAACCTATTTTTATGGGGCTTCTAGATTTTCCAACATCAAAATTAAAACCTAGACTCACAATTTCATGCTAGACGAACAAATTCGATGGAAAATAATTGAAAACCTATAAATACTTTATATTTACATTCTTCCCCAACAATTATAACCCTAGGGTGTAACCCACAAATTTCTACGAAGAACTTATCCTTCGATTCTATGGAGAAAATAAATTATGGAAGGAAAAGGTGGATTAGAGTCACTTACCTCAGAGGAAAAAGCCATAAGTCTTGAAAGAATCACTCTTGGGGTCCTCTGATGGAATATTCTAAGTCATAAACAAGACTTGAGTAAGAAACTTACTTAAACACGAAAATAAGCATCCCAACCTTTTCTATAGTGAAGTTTTTTTTTTATAGCGGACCAACCCTTCATTATATCGAAACATTGCAGCTTCATTGTCTTCGGTATAGCGAACTTGTCACGACTCAACCCACCGGGTTGTGTGAGCACCTACTCTAACACTGAGATAGGAGAATCCTAACCACCCAATTCGGATTAAAACATTTTGAAAATAAATAATTTACTACGAAAGGCTCATTAAAACATCATAACTTAGGCTCATTAAAATATCATAACTTTACGAAAAAAAACTTTCATAAACCTTTTAGGGAAAATGCATAAGTACCCCCCCAACCTATGCCCAAAATGTCAGAGACACACTTATACTATATTAAGGTCCTATTACCCTCCGAACTTATTTTATAAATAATTTTCTACCCCTTTTCGGCCTACGTGGCACTATCCTTGAAAAATTATCAACACGCATTGGGCCCACAAGATAGTGCCACGTAGGCCGAAAAGGGGTAGAAAATTATTTATAAAATAAGTTTGGGGGGTAATAGGACCTTAGTATAGTATAAATGTGTCTCTGAGATTTCGGGCATAGGTTGGGGGGTACTTAGGCATTTTCCCAACCTTTTATATAAAAGACTGAAAACACCCCCCAAGGAACTAGTATAACAGGTACAAACACTATTAAGGAAGTACATGTTATACAAAAAAATAGGACATAACTCCCACCATAAGAAAGGAAATGAAAGTTGTCAAGATCCTTATCACATGTACCTATGAAATATCACTAACCCTGGAACCACACTATGCCAAGTGGCATAGCAAGAGTAATATCACTAGAAATGAGACGTACTGATAGGTATCATCGGTCGACATGAACCTACCGCATAACATAATGTAAATTAATAGAAAATTCATGCAATACAGAAATTACACCACCCCACTTCTCTGTTTTCTTACTTATACACTTTCCAGGTAAATACCATGATAAGCACCTTAACTACACCAGCCTATGACTTCCCAAGCCAACCTATGATATCACAATAATACATAATCATAACCTAACCCATGTACCACATTAACATCCCCAAAAACTAGGCCATCGTCAACCCTATCAACTAACCTGCTACCCTTTACAGTAACTATGCCAACTCCCTAGCCCTTTTTAGAATCGTAATGGCACCTTAGATCAACTTATCCTTAGCAAACTAAACCCAAAACCCATTACAAAATCAATTTCATTATGATTAATACTAGACGACTAGATAATTGAGTCCTCATTAACTCAACCCAATAGTTAAGATAATTATGCATAAGAACCCCAAGAATCTAGATGCAAATGAACAATTAACTTACCTCCACCATCACAATAGATACATATTCCGGACTCCTTGTCTTTCCTTTGACTTATCGTAACATGATCCATGTCCCACATGGTCACATACAAGTCAGACTTGAGATCAACTCACTTTCCAAGTAACCCGGACCACTCAGGGATCCAAAATGCAACAATTATTTCATGAAAGCATACACTAGGTCCACTCATGAAACCATGAATACATAGTTGGTCCTCTCACAGAATCCAAAGCAAATTGTTAATGTATTGTTGTGGTACCCGAGCTAACCAACAATCACAAACAATTATGCACAATCACATAACATACTGAACAAGACCACTCAAAAATCATACATCACAATCACAAGTTCATTGCATGAGCTTACCTATATGATGTCACACTGTATGTCTCCCTACCATGCATTGTACAAATTATACTATAAAGCAATATACATACATACATACATAAACCAGAAACATACAACCATCCTAATAGGAACTCAATGCAAATCAAGAACTAGAGAACCACTTCCTAGCCACTACCTTATCTTCGCCCTAACAACACATAATAACAATTTCTAACCATCCAAATTCTGTGACCGAAGCCCTATACACGTTGTATATGAATATTTACAAGATCAAATACGTTAAATGTAGGTCTAACTTTCTACTTAATTGTAAGAAACTTAGCCTACCTAGGTGTCAAACAAAAATTGATGAACATTTCCCATGAATTTGACTCCGCAGAAGCAACCTTGATGAACGGACACTAAAAATCCATAGACTTTTACTTCTCATGCACGGTAATTCTCCCTCATCCATTTCTCCTTTACCCCTGGTGCCTTTGGAGGGTTTTTGGTGCAGCTCTCGTATATTTCTCCTTTCAAAAGAGAATGGAAAATAAAAGATGATGCAATAATTAGGTTGTTAAATTTCAACGTCCTGCTATAGAGGCTCTTAGACTGCTATATCATCGCCGCCATAGCTGGGAAGCTTTCCGTTATGGCAGGCTAACATCACCCCAGCCTAGAAAAATCAAGTTTAATCTAAAAATCATTGTGTGCTCAAACTTTTAAAAATTCCTGCACCATCTTTCCAAACTTTTGGGACTCTGCTCGAGGTGTCCTTTAGTAACGACTGATCGAATTGTTACAGAACCACCCTTAACTATAGTAAATGAGGTCTTTGTTATAAATGAAGCCAAGGCAGTTTACCCATTTTATTTTATTGTTTGATTTTTTTCCAATTTCGACCTGTGGGGACCTATGTCAGGGTAATATGGTCTTAAATAACTATAATGATGGGAAATGTCATTACAAAAGGGAGAAAAATATTAAAGAGCGCTAAAGAAGAACTGCTTATAACTTCTTATTGTCAATCCATTTGCCTTCGTCGTGACTTCCTGATTCCTTCTTATAACAAAGTCAAATAAATACCCAAAGCTCAAAATAATATTATGATGATCGAGAAGAAAATAAGAATGGGATACTCACGAGAACATTTGAATTCTAACACTTGTTAATTGATAAATCTAAGAATTCAAGTTGAGTTAAATTTTCAAGGACCTTTGGTATTCTTCCGGGCAAAACATTTGAGATTTTCTAATGTCTCAGTTAAAATTCAACCTAACTATGTACTTACATTTGGGTAACCAAATAGTACGCTTGTAATTACACTATGAAAAATAAATAGGTCATCATAATTAGTATACTGTTTAATTACTAAGTTGTATAATTACTATCATAATAATTACACCAAATCCAATTACCAGGTGACTTTTTACACATACCCTTAGTTTTTTGTACTCCATTAGAATCAAGCGACATAACTATTAGCTAACCAATTTAAAATCCTTCATCTAAGAAAAATAAATAACTCAATTATTTTATCCTCTATCTAGCTTTTTATATCTTTACTTTGCACATGTTGTAGTACGTAATATTTTGGGGGGAAAGTGCATCAGAACATGGAAATAATTTCTTCTATAAGAACTTGACATACTAAAAGAATTGCATATTCTACAAACATTAATAAGTTTCCAAAAAACAAAATAAATATGAATAAAAATTAATTGTACAATTTTATGTGAGGGAAGGTCCACCTATGTTGCCAAAGAGACTTGCACTTTAATGGACAAATTCTTATGCAATCTCCTCCTCCTCCTCCTCATCATCGTCATCTTCATCTTCGTCTTCATCTTCATCTTCATCTTCATCTTCTTCTTCTCCTTCTTCATCATCGTCATCTTTGTGAATAGCCAAATATGGATTTTTCCCAATTGGCTTAAAATTATAGAATATAAACATATAGAACATCAAGCTTGCACCTTCAGCAGCAACAATAGTAACCCATTCATGCATATAAGTTACTACACTTTCAATCATAGCAATTCCAAATCTAGTGAAATACAAGAACACAATCAAGACAACATAAAAATGCCTAAAAAGTGTTAACTTCTTGAGATTTTCAGCTGCTTTTCCATCATTCTTTGATGCCAACCTAAGGCTTTTAATAGACCATAGAATTGGGACTAGTACAATACAACAACACATAACATCTATTAACAAAAACAACTCATTCCATACTAACCAATGCTTCTCAACAGGTCCACCTTCACTTATCACAATCGCAGCTATATTTTCGATCACTTGTAAAGGGATCACAAACATTAAAACCTTTTTTTCGCGGTCATGAAGGAAAGGTTTCAAGAATGACCAACCAGTTCCAATAAGAACTATGACAGTGAAAAGTGTTACACCTTTCAAAAATCCAAAAATATAAAATGCCACATCCCAACCATGAGCCTTCCCTGTATTTCTAATGTACATCTTGTCTTCTGCAGCACATATCAACTTCAACGCCTTGAAAACCAACAACATAGCCATGATCAAATGAATCTTGTGAATATTTTTCCTCTGTTTAACACAAATAAATCCCCATATACCCGAAAATACAAAATATACAATGAATAAAAGGAAATATAATTTAGGTAGTAAAGTCTGACCAGCAGGAAGAAAATCTTTCTCTCCATTATCATTCACATTGTATATTTCAGTATGCACATTCATAGTCACAAGAAATTCCTTTTGACAATTGCCAAATATCAAATTATACTCATCAGGCTCGTTGATTGTGGTTGATGTGTTGTAGGATGAATCAGGGCCAAGCTTGTCAAATCTAAAGACAAGATTTACATACTTACTAGATAAAACACAAAAGTTCTCTGTATAAATGGACTCATTCAAGAGTCGCGGAAATGATACATCTCTAACAAGGCAAAATCCCATGGAAGAAGGATATAGTTTTGCAGCTGGTTCATCTGATCTCCAATAAACATGATCTAGAGAAATGGTAACATGTCCATCAGGTGCAAAACCAAATCTCTCTATCAATATTATTTGCCTAGAATCATCAATAATGTGTGTATTCTTGATTTCACATGATGAAAATTTAAAACTTGATATAAATATAATAAACAATGCTTGTAGAAACTTTAAGCCACTTACATAGTTGACATCTTCCATAATATGTTTGTTACTTAGAATTTTTTTATAGCATGATAGGACTAAAATATTTATTTTCTTTTACTTCTCTGTTTTAACTAGAAATTTGTAAAATACTAAAACTAGTAACAAATGACAATGTAAAAGAAATGTATTCTTGTATAGTCTAATTAAAGGAGCACAATTCTTAATTACTCTCACTAATCACACTTAAAACTGTCTTTTAGCAAAATTTTCAGCATTACCACTAATGAAGTTTGAAAATAATTTCAACTTTAGTAGATCCGAACCAATAGGGACTTAAGAGAAAATAAATGAAAGGTAGTTAAAGGAATTTTTTATATAATAACTACTATTAAATTTAAGCTTAAGAGTAAATTTCATCTAATTTCTTCAATCTTCTAATTGCAGAAATTTAGTCATTCAATGCTTCACCATATTTTAGTTTTTTTTTTCGTTGTTTGAATATCAATTATATGATTCATGCTTAAATAATACTCTCTACATTTAAATTTTTTTGTCCTATTTTGACTTGCCACCGAGTTTAAGAAAGTAAAGAAGTCTTTTAAATCTTGTGGTCTTAAATTAAAGATATGTCAAATGTATCAAAATATTCTTTAATCTTATAATATTAAACATGTCACGTGTAATGTTGAAATTAAAGAGTTGATAACGAGGAAAGAGATATTTTTTTTGAAACAGACTAAAAAAAAGTAGGATAAAAAAATTAAAATAGATGAAAGAGGAAAATAAGACAAACAAATTAAAATGAAAGGAAAATATTTTTATTGTGCAAGAATAAGCAATAAAAAGGTGAGATAATTACACTCTAGTGCAGCTCATAAAATTACTTTACATAATCTTGCCAAGGTTTTCATTGTTTACATTTATTGACACATTCCATGACAACTCTAAATTGTAGGACTTAGATCTATTGAGTTTTTTTTAAAACCAAAGTGTATATTATTTTTTTGCAGATTTTTTCTTGTTGATTTACTGGGAAAAAAAAGGAACAAGAAGAAAATTAATAGATATTGCACGCAATTTTTTCTATAAATTAATTTATGTTAATCCTATTAGAGGACAAACTAAGTGAAAGATCTATCAAATTAAGCAAATAAACAAATAATTTATTATTATTATTATTATTAAAATAATAATAATAATAATAAATAATAAATAATAATAGTAACAACTACCAAATTAATCTAACTGTATTGAAATTTTGATATAATTATAAGTAAGATTGGTGTTCGGCCATTGTTGAAGCTTGAAGCTTCAAAGTTTGAAAATTGAATTCTTATAAATTAGTTTTATTTCGAATGGATATTGTTGCAAAAGATCGATTACATATTGAGGAGTCTAAATCTAAAATTTTGGGTGATTTGATGTAGTAGGTGTTTATGGATGGATATGGTGTTTGAATTCAAGGAAGAAGACGAAGTCAGATTTTTATATAATGTTGTATATTATTGTATAAGGTTGTATAAATATCTCATATAATTTTGTATAATAATATATATCTAATTTTAAAACATTGTTGTAAAGAAAATAATCAAAGTTTTTGTTTATTTTTTAATATGGGTGTATATGTTGTATACCGAATTTTTAAAACATCGATGTAAGAAAATAATGAAATTGTTGAAGGAAGATTATATGAAATGTGGTTTTGGTGGAAACTTTTATAACGGCAAAAACGTTTTCTCTGGAAATGGGCTTATTATGTTTTAGGCTAAAAAATTACATGTAAGCTTTGTGTTATATTCTTGCAATGTAATTAGATAATTGTTTTTTTTTTAAATTACCCCTTAAAAAATTTATGAGATAAAAGTGTGTACTAACAAAAAATATTTGTTGAATTTAAGCTGAATTTAAATTCAATAAGGAATAAGGCATAATTACCCAATGATGAGAAACCATTATTATGTAAGAAGGAAAAACATAAAGAAATGCAAAAAAAATATATATATATATATTAAGAAAGGTATCTTAAATCAAATTTCTAGGAGTGTGACATTGTCACGCCCCTAGCCTACACCCTGAACGTAACTGGCACTCGAGAACCATTGCTGGTCCACAAGTGAACCCTTGGCATAACTCAATACTCAGTGGAAGACTTACTCAATATTAGATGAACTCAAAAATCTCAAGACATAACTCGGAATATTAAAAAACATTCAACTGGTCAAAAGAGACAATTCAAGTCTAAAAAATTAACAGCTGGAAATGAAACAAACTTCTCAAAACTCTATTGTCTATGAAGCCTCTAAGTACTACGATGGATGTCGGGACAAGAACCCCGATCATCCTACAAAACTGAAAATAAAAGCAAAGTGTGGAGCCCTCTGGAAAGCAAGGAGGCTCACCAATAAAACTCTGGGATTGCAAGTGGTATCAATGGAGCGCCTGTTGATGACCCTGGTTACCTGTATGTGTATCATGAAAGATGCATGACAAATGGCGTCAGTACATGGAATGTACGAGCATGCAAGGAGAACTCTAAAGCATAGACATAATAAACTTGATCTGATGAAAAGGAGGAAATTACTTCCCTCATCTCAACTCAACTCAACTCAACTCAAAGATACTCAAGAATATTCAAAGATACTCAAGGATACTCAAACTCAGAAAATACTCAACTCAGTTCAAGAATACTCAACTCATTATAAAGCAATACTAAAAGATGCAGTATAAAGTAAGCTTTTAAACAGTAAATGACAACTCAAAGTATTTAATATTACAATAATAATTCATTTACTTTTATTTGGGAGATTCTCTAACCGACAACCATCACTATGAGCTATGTGATAATACAACGGCTCTCCCACGCTGCCAGAACTGTCCTATACCTTGTTGTAGTATAATACATCTTCAACTAAGTGGATCCACTAAGCTATGGTTAAAGCAATAAGGAATCATCTAAAAAGTATGACCTTTTACCCATGTTGACATACATGGTTTATATGGACTTTGAGTTGTCTGAACTCGTCCCCATATCGGTGCTCAATACTACTCCCAATAATATAATTCATGCTCAAATGTTTAAAAACATTTTCTCATCCTCAACTTTGAGATTATTACTCAAAAGGTTCTCTTAAAAGAGATAGTGCTCAAAAACACCTCATGAACTCATTAATTTGGAAATCAAGGTTTCCTCTCAATTTAAATGTAAAAGTATTTATTCTTGGGAATACTAAGTTCCCATATATTCATTTGGAAAAATGAAATTCAACTCACCTCATCCTCATACTCAAGTACTCAAGTCTTAAAAAAAGTTTAAAAGTTTTCAAAAGACTTCTCAAATGACTCGAAAGAACTTCCTCGAACTTTATTCTTAACTCTATCTTGAATTTGAATTATGAATTATGAATTCAAGAGTTATGACTTGGATATCAAGGATTAATGAAGATTTTAAGTGTGTATATCAAGTAGAAAACATAGATATGATTCGAGGGAACTCACACGGAAAGAAGGTCGGAAGGGTAGGGGACTTGGAGACCCTGACACACTGAGTGGCGCGGGGTGCCGGCCCCTAAACTACTGAACGTGGTTTGGGGCGCACTGAGTGGTGCAGCGCCCCACCCCTATGCCCAGGTATTGACGAATTTTCTTGCTCCAATTTCATGTCTAACTCCCCTAGAATCAATTGATTTCCCTCAAACTCTTTTGAATTCTTAAACCCAACCTAATTACAACGAAATCTACACCAAACCCCACCAAGAACAACACTCATTCGCAACTCTCCCCTCAAGAACTCAACAAAAATTTCATTATCAAAGAACGAGACACAAAACTTCAAGAACTCAAATCATTCAACCTCAAGAATGAAGTTACGGATAAAAATTACATGATTGACATGTGGGTGAATGAAACCAACACTATGAGAACTTATATGCCTTATAAGGATCAAATCCTTGGCGAAACTCCTCAACAATTACAAGAATCTTGAACGAACGCTTAAACTTCTCCATTTTCTCCTCTTGCACTTCTCTCTAAAAACCTAAGTGTGTTTCGGAATTGTGAAAACTGATCTAAATCAGTTTAGACCCCTATTTGGGGGAACCAAAACGTGCAAACTTAGTGGGGTAAGGAAAAAACCAAAATACCTCTCCTTAATTCAGATGAATTTCCTTAACTAGACAGGCTGAACTCAAACGGGAATATCTCCATCATCTGAACTCAGAATTTAGAAAACTCGGTGGAGTTGGAAAGAGGAATCAGAGATCTTTCATTTGATATCTCATGGGACACCTAACTCATCGTGTACTGAAAGTTATGATCGTTTGAAGTTGACCCAAAACTCACAATTGAAGTCTAACTTGCAAAATTCCCAATTTGGTTCTTTCTAAAATTAACTTTTTCTAAGACCGAGGTGTTACAATATTTCCCCCTTGGGAACATTCATCCTCGAATGAGATCACTCTAATTAGGACTAAGGGTGACAACATCTAACAGCCAGCTCAAACACCCAACATGCAATTTAACATAACACAGCATATCAATTTAAAGTGTTTTACAAAAATCATTACCTTAGTCTGGAATTTCTCCGGAAGTAAAGAGATGTGGGTATTTCTTCTTCATATCCTCCTCAGACTCCCAAGTAGCTTCCTTAACAAACTGATTCCTCCATAAGACCTTGACTGATTCTACCTCTTTGGTTCTCAGCTTGCGAACCTGACGATCAAGTATCTCAACATGTATCTCCTCATAAGATAGGTTGTCCTTAATACCAATATCCTCAGTCGGTATAATAAGTGAAGGATCGCTCATACACTTCTTCAACATAGAAATTATGTGAAACACCGGATGGACTGCTTCTAACTCTAGCGGTAGCTCCAACTCATAAGCTACATTGCTAATTGTCTTGGATATCCTGTAAGGACGAATATATCGGGGACTAAACTTCCCCTTCTTTCCAGACCTCATAACATCCTTCATGGGTGAAACCTTCAAATAAACCCAATCATCCACCTCAAATTCCAAGTCTCTTCTCCTAACATTTGTATAGGATTTTTGACGAC